AGCTGCTCTGGGCTGGCCAGTGTCTTCAGCAGATTGTTTTCCTGCTCCAGCTGGGAGTTTTTCTCTATTAGTTCTTTGATTTGCTCTTTGAGCACCTCCACTTCCTCTCTAACGGCATACATCAAATGGCTTTTCACCAGATCCTGAAAGGGAGGGGGACAAGGTTTAACTTACTGTGTACTATTTCCCGGACGCCGTATTCTACAGCATTACTGTGCGGGCCTCTCCCTAACCATTTACACACCCTGCCTTCAGAGTGCACTGAACGGCACTTGGGGAAATCTACTGAACACAATCACGACTGTACAATACTCAAGTTTAACGTATGCCCGATCAAGCTTTTGAAAAGTCTATGCTTTCTTTGCAGCCGTTAGTCAGGAATGCAAACAGTCAGGCTTCCTATTCGAGATGGCAAAATGCACTGGGGCTCAGGCAGCAGCCTGGCCGCAGGGATGTCCAGGTCCGCAGAGACGGTGGCCGCTTCCCCGCCCCCAAGTCCCTCCCTCTGCCCGCCCGCCACCGCGGACCGCCTCCCTCAGCACCGGCTGCAGCCAGTTCCTACAGAGCATGTTGCCGCATTTTCCTCCCTCCACCCTCACCCCCCTCTTTTCGTGATTAAGCTGACATCACAAAACCTGGGCAGACGTCGCAGCCAATGGGAGCTCGATTTATTTATAGCTCCGAATTAAAGGTTCGGAGTTTGCCTAGCAACAGTGGGCAGAGAATCCCGTGAGAAGAGCCACAGGCGCTGCTCCAATAACAAAGAACAGCCAAGGCGGAAATAAAAAATAGGAGAAATCCAGGCGCAGGCTGGGAAGACAAAACTTTTCTCCCGTTCGTCTTCATTGTGCGGTAGCCTACCTCCCTGGGGATCCGTTTGTGCCGGGTCTAGACGGCCCCTTGCCGAGATCCCCACTTCTGACCCCCGCCCCTCGGGGCTCCCTAGTAAACCTTAGGATTCCTAGTAAAGCCACATCGCTAGAGATGTGCCCACGACCAAAGGACACGCAGGGCCGGCTCTTCCCTAGCAATTCTCCCAGCAAAAAGGGACAGCTCTGCAAAAATCCCGACGTTGTGTGAAATCAGCCCAGGAAGGAACATTTGATACACCCTGCGCCCCCTTTTCTCGCCACAGCAGCGGTCGTATGCGGCTCCATGCTGGCAGAATGGAGACAGTGCCGGCATTTCTGAATGGATGAAGAGCAACCATCATCTTAAGTATGGATGCACTGGTTCCATCCCAAGACATCTCGCTTTTTGTACTGTGCCCACAGTTAGTAGAAATGACTTTTAATCAGTACATACCATAGCTTGCTCGATTTTGTTGTCAATAGCTACCACACTTGCACCAGAGGAGCTGGAAAAGAGGGAGGGGAAAATAGATAAATGGATTTTATCTTAAACATCCAATACACACACACACACACACACACACACACACACACACACACACACAAAAGGATTTCCAATTCTGTGATGTTAGTATCCTCGTTTTTGAAATATTCTTTAAGGCTATGTAATATATCACCCTCCAGAAAACACAAGCCACTCTTTTACTAACGAATATGCAGACATTTCCTTATTTTAGTGAGCCACAAAGGGCTAAATTACATAATGTGCTAACAGCCTGTCCTCTGGCCAGGCCGGCGAAAAGAAGGTTATTCTAAAACACTTCGAAAAGCAACATCCATGTCACCGTAGAGTCTCGGCAATGGACAAAGGAATTCGCCTGGCTATCTTTCACCTGCATTATTACAAGTAGCTCACGACTAAATTTAAAGAAACTATCCCAGCCGACATTTACCTATTGTCAAGTCTCACAGAGGCGTTTTCAGTCCCCAGCAAGGATGACAAGAAAGAAATTGAAAAATGTCTCAGTTGGTAAACTCCTAGATCCAT